GTGCCTTACCTGGTCCCCAGATGAAAGGGCCACGCCAATATCACCTGTACGGTGCCTTACCTGGTTCCCAGATGAAAGGGCCAAGCCAATATCACCTGTATGGTGCCTTACCTGGTTGCCAGATGAAAGGGCCACGCAAATATTACCTGTACGGTGCCTTACCTGCTCCCCAGATGAAAGGGCCACGCAAATATTACCTGTACGGTGCCTTACCTGCTCCCCAGATGAAAGGGCCACGCAAATATCACCTGTACGGTGCCTTACCTGGTTCCCAGATGAAAGGGCCACGCCAATATCACCTGTATGGTGGCTTACCTGGTCCCCAGATGAAAGGGCCACGCAAATATTACCTGTATGGTTCCTAAACCTGGTCCCTAGATGAAAGGGTCACGCCAAATATCACCTGTACGGTGCCTTACCTACTCCCCAGATGAAAGGGCCACGCCAATATCACCTGTACGGTGCCTTACCTGGTTCCCAGATGAAAGGGCCACGCAAATATTACCTGTATGGTGCCTTTGGTTACCAGATGAAGGGGCCACGCAAATATTACCTGTATGGTTCCTAAACCTGGTCCCTAGATGAAAGGGCTACGCAAATATCACCTGTACGGTGCCTTACCTGGTCCCTACATAATTTATGAAAGGCCCATGGAATTTTCCCGTACGGCGTTTTACCATGGAGGTAGAAATGGTTTTACTGGTAACACGTTATCTAGACCCAAGTCCCTCACGCACTCATTACCTGTAAGGTTTCCAGAGCTAAGAGCCGCACAAATGACTGTTTGTGGCTTATCCACCGAAGTGGAGTTATTATAGCCGTAAAGGTTGACGTTTTTTGCCCCTAAAAGCTGTGGATAAACGCCGGCAGCCCTCCCCACCGCTAGCTATCCCTCACTGTAGCAGCTGATACCCCGACCAATAGCAGCGTGGAGCTTGCTGAGAAATTGACCAATAGCGGCGTGGCCGTCTTTCGTGGCCGTCCTACCATATTCTAGGCCAAGCCATACCTCTCACACCGGGTGGAGCGCCATATTGTATGTCGTAACCTTGCGGTGAAGGTTGAACTCTTCTGCTCGTTACAGAGGTTCATAAGGACTTTTGAGGACTCTTTTTCTCCTGGTAGCTCGCTAAAGTATTCCCGCAGAGTTCAAGATGTTTTCCTCGTTCCGAGACGTGGCAAAATGCAACCCTTTTTTCAGCCCGTTCCAGGCGCAGTGTGAGGGGAGGGCACCGGCGAAAGATGGCGCCCTAGTTCCAACAAGAAATCTTGGCGCGGCAGCGGCCGCCGAAGGTCAGTGGTTTATCGACTGGTAGTAGCCATACTGTTCGTACAGTCGGGCACATGCGTGAAAGCTTTCATAGCCAATTCACAGGGATTAAATATATGCAAGAGATTTTATATCTGTTTAATGCGTATGTAGGGTATGTAGCCGCCATGTTCCGTGGAGCACACGTGGAAATTTTTGGTGGAAACGCTCCCGTCCTCCAGTAACTAACCATGGTTCTTGCACTATTATAACCTGTGAATTTAAGCAATATGTATCTGTTGCATCTTCTCTCGATTTAACATGGGTAAACGGATACCGGAACTCATAGCTAGGTCACCTTTTACTGTGGGGTGACCGCCCAGTGCAACATGACCTGGCTGTCTGTCTATGACAAAAGTCCGACTATGTAGGTCAACTCACGTGGTTTTGACCTTAAACCTTATTGCAAAGGATATAGCGTGCACCTTGTACTATGCATAGCATGTCGTGTGTAGTATATTTCAGATATTTAAACGCGTTTTGTAATGTTTCCTGAAATAGTTCTTATCTAAAGGCAAGATGAGGATTCCCCGCAAAATGACGTTGTGACGTCACAGAAGCCGGCTAGTTGTCTGATCAGTGACGGAACTTTGAAAAATCCCAAATTAGTTTATTCTAGAGCTTAAGTAGGAAAAGCAGTCTTTTAAATTTAACTTATGACGTTGATAATTTTTTAAATATATGTCAGTGTATGTTAGTGTCATGTCTTACATTAAAATGAAATAAAGCTAATTCTTTTGTCTCTCTGTTGTTAGGAGACAGCTGTGAGTTTGGAAGTGCTAAGTACTATGCTCTGTGTGGTTTTGGAGGCATCTTGAGCTGCGGGCTCACACATACAGCCATCGTGCCCCTGGATCTGGTGAAATGCCGCATTCAGGTCAGGACAAGTCCTTAGACTCCCTACAATATAAACTGAATATTGTAGATTGAGCAACATTTTCTAAATTGATTTTTCTTCAAATTGTGAAATTCTGTTTGCATTCTTTTGTTAGCTATGTAATGTAAGATTCAGTCTGACTGTAATTAGTTCAACTCTAATCAGGCCTAGGAAAAAAAATGTTGTGTTTCCGGTTACCCGACCGACCCTATGAAAAACCCCCCGACCCTAGCCTTTTTGGGCCGACCAAAAATTTCGAGCGGCTAGCGGTCGGTTTTCAAAATTGGGGATTTTATCCCCGATAAATGTGCTCGTCATTCCAATTTTCTTCGGTCGGGCGGCGTGGATCGAGCGCTAATTGCACGGATCAGGCCGCCATTGTCGGCACAATCCTGTGAATTGACGATGAATTGTCGATCCCGCCATGACGCCACAAAGAAAACGTTGTCATTGGTAGAAAATCTGACACCCCGCTGGCGTTTCACAACAAATTTTCATGTAAACAACTCCGACTGTCTTTGTTACATCGCGAAAGCCTCACCGATACAAAGTAAAACTCCCGCCGGCCGGCCGCGCCCGATCGCATGGTTGCGGCATGGCGCTAAGTTTTCGGCAGCTCGACGGAAAAATAATCCATCCCCAGAAGAAATGTTACGCATGAAAATAACAACTACAACTTAGTTTTCCTCGTTATATGAGTTTTTGAGGCCGTAAAATGTTTAAAACGGTTGAAATTTGCTCGAAAAAACGGCTCGAAAATTCACGGCGAGAAAGACAACATGGCCGACCTGTTTTCACA